TTTCAGGTAAACGTAAGGCAAGAAGGAAGATTTGGGGGTAGTGTACAGAGGGGCTCAGGGATATCTTTTGACCTGGTTGGCAACTTCAAGGGTATTCTCAGCCAATGATAACCCTTTCAACTACGTAGTTAAAATTTGTGTTTTAAATAAAATGTTGAGGTTCAAGTGGTGAATTTAAAAACACGGTGAAGATAAACAAGAAGGCTCTGTAGAAAGTCTGTCCCTGAGGAGCATGTGCAAGGCATGATTACCCTTTCCCAGGATAGGTTATACATATCCTTCCTTAGATATGTTAACTGATACCATCCCCCAAAACGCCCCTTCAAAAGAGAAAGATGCCTATTTCAATTCCTGTAACTAAGCAATCCTCTTTATTAAGCACTTTATTAAAAAAGAAGAAACTGAGGCACATTGAAGTTGAATAACATGTCCAAGTTTCCATAGCAGTAAGTAGCAAAGGTTAACTCTTGCCAGTCTGGCTGTGGAGTCCCATAAGCAATGTTTCTCTTCACATGTGGCCTTGGCTTCAGGCAACATGTTTCCTTCTGGCAACTGAAGGGCTCTGGAGGAGGCACTCTTAAGTTGGCAACAAAGCAGAGAGCACAGTCTAGGCCAGCCATATGCTTCACTAATACCACCCACCTACTCTTGCTTCTCACAAGAAGGTCCCCAGAGGCCAACAGACTCGGTTATCACAGGCCAGCAGAGGGGTTACTGATGAAAGTGTGCAAGTGGCCTTTGCTTTATTCATTTACATAAGATACTTCACACAGGCCAGAGGCTGCATCTGGAATTCTAAACTGAGAATTAGAAATACAAGCCAAAGCATAATTTACAAAAACAAAAAACCAAGGACAACATTCTATATAGGATTTTTCTTTGAAATGTGTCCAAACCAAAACCCTGCTTTCTGCCACATCTACTGCGTTTAAGAATCCTGTTCAAAGTTCTGCAAATCGAGATAAGATCATATAAGACCTACACTCTCAGCAGCAGACAAACCCCATCACCTTTCTCTCCAGTTAGACTCTGATGGAAAATACAAGAATAAGACATTGAATGATAAATTTCATGTGAAATCAGCTGAATAACTGAGCTATCCTGAAGACTCTTGGTTTAGACAGTTCAAGAGGAATTCAGTGCTATGTGCTATAAACAAATATGTAAATTTGTTATGCAGGTGTTTGTATTAAAACATGAAAACAAGCATTTGGGTGTCTTAGGCAAGAAAAAGAAATGTACAATTCAGAGGTGTGGCTGACACTGCTGATAGAAACAGAATCTGTCGTATTTTTCTTAAATGACACTATGTTTGCTACTTTACCAATAAAGTTATGTTGTATTACAACAAACACATAGATGGTAAGACTGGATGTGGTTTAAGTTGTTAAAGTAAAAAGCCACTCATGGTTCTGAGTTTCAGTGAATTAATTCTTGTATGTAACAAGACAATACTTTGAAATAATTAGCTGTGAGTTCTTGGAAGTGCTCTTTCTAGGCGGGTGGACAGGGCTCTATCAGAAATAACTACTGCCAAAACTACAAGCTGTTTCTTTTCAAACACAAATCAACTCAACTTTAGTTGTGTTCTGTCTTGTCTTTTTTTTTCCCTCTACTGTTCTCTGACTTGCAAGAACCGAACAAGGATTAAAAACACAAATTAATTTCCATGCTTTTTAACCAGCTTAGAAATTTCAAGGTTTGGAAAGTGTTCTGGGAGATGAGCTATGCATTCATTTTCCTGATATAGTGTGAGGAAAATAACTCCCACATCCCTTTATCCATCCCAGGATGACAGCCAATCTCAAAAAAGTTGAAATACTTCAAGCACTTGAAAATATTCCATAAGGTAAAGTCAATTTTTTTAAAGAGATTATTTAAACAAAAACAACAAAAATGGTTCTGCACGTCATTTTTTAAAATTCTTTACACCCTTAGGTTTTATAAAGTTAAAATTTAAGAATAGCTACTGAGATGTTCCAAAGAAAAGCTGTGCTGCTTGTCTTGGTAGACTGAACCCTGGCCGGCTGTCCATCACTAATATAAGTAAGTCTTACAGGTGCTAATAACCAGCACTTTATTCTGACCAATGTCCTCTAGTACCTCCTGGTTCGGAGAGTCAGGCACATGTTTGTGGCACCTACAGAGTGCCCCTTCATGTGGGGATCTCTAGGAGGAAAATTACTCTGCTCTTAGGAGGAAGTGTGAAGAAGGCACGTTCGAGCAACAGGATGGGAGAGCCATGGTGAGCAACAAACCCTAAACAACACCAGCTGTGGGAACAGATCTTTTCCAAAATACCTTTGATGGATGAGTGCCTTAGATTGCACTGTTTTCACTATTCCTGGACAACACTGGACAACTGAAGAGAAGTAAGTAATGACATCTTAACATTGTTTTGTGAATTGGAAGAAAAGAGTTAGCAAATTGTAAGGTAAATCATCCTTAGCAATTGCTAATGCACAAGAAATACTGACAAGCATATTGAATATATGGAACCACGCTGCATATGAATGCAAACAGGCAACTGTCAGCACGATTCTTACTGAGAAGTATCCACAAGAAGCCAACTATAATGTCCTAGTAGGTAGGGGTGAGGGGGAGGGGGCAACTCTGGTTTGTTTTCATTCGTGCTGGCCTAGAATTCTTATGTCTTCAAATAATTTAGTAACCAACAAAATTTATTAAATGCTCTAACAATGGTGGGATAACAACTCCTGAGTGAAGTTTAATACAAATGAATATGGCATATAGTTAGTCCCAAGTCCAGTTATGAGAATTAAATGAAAACCATGAAAAGTATAAACTTTTGAAAAATGGAGACATTGTATATAAGAATTAAGTTTAAGCCTGTTATCCCTGATGACCAAGAAAGGACAATTACAGCAAAGAAAGGAACTGGCCAGGAACTCACTAAACACCTGTAGTACCCTAGCTGGCCACAGCGATACTACATTCCACTCTGCTACAATGTTAAAAAGAAAAAATTTATATAAATAAACAACAGAATTTAGAAAACTACATTCAGTAATTTACTTCTTAATCCATATGTTACCAACTGTCATAATTAAGGCTGCAGATTAAACCACCTACAGAAACAGAGAGGCTATTATTTCTTCCATACATTATATACTGTGACGTGTGATCCTATAATTATATTCATTTCTAATACTCTGGTAATATCTTCAGGATCCTTACAAGAGGAATGTGAGGCTGAGTCCCTAAGTCATGTAAACATAGGACTAAGGCTTGGTGTCAATTACCCAAATGCACACCAATCGACAGCACAGTATTACTCCTTAGACTGTCTTTTGTGTTCTATTCTACCTCCCAAGACTGTGGGCACAGTTTCTGAAATGAGACCCAGAAGTGGCTTATAAGCCTTTAAACAAACAAAAGACAGCAGGATTTATACCTTAGGCTGCAAAACATCTATTGCCTTTTTCATTCTTAGCACCAGGTCACAAGTTGTATCATCCGGAGGCAGAAAACTGAACGCTATGCCATCTCCCTACTGAAGAAGCCTTACCTTGGGATCAGATGTGAGCAGTTTGAATGCTTGATAGACTTGGGCCTCCTTTACACCACCTCCGAGGTCCAAGAAGTTAGCTGGCTTCCCTCCGTTCAGGAAGATGATGTCACAGGTAGCCATGGCCAATCCAGCACCATTCACTGTGAAATGCAAATAGCACACAAAATGGAAACATGAAACAGCACAGAAATGGAGTGGGAACACAGAAGGCCAAATGAGAACACTATCATTTCTAAGCCAATCTGTACCCTGAATTGGGATTCAACTCATAAAATAATTTATGGTTAATAATCAGGACAAGTGTATCCAAAGAATAAACAAACAAAACAAAGAAAAATGAGGAGAATTCAACAATAATTCATATAACAAAGACAGGTTAAGGACTAATTTGGCTGTGGGTTCTGAAAAGGCTTCACATAGGAGGATGGGCAAAAAGAATTATGGCTGTGAAGAGTGGCTAGCCATTCAAATTATGTGAACCAAGAGCAATGCTCAGCTTGTCCCTGTGGAGATGCTCTCTGACTGTGCAACCTTTGGAATTAAACCAACATCTAACGGTTCTGCTCTTTCTTTACCTTTGGCAGGCATGCATTTTTGTGTGAGCTAATCGGCAGCAACTCAAAAGAGAAACAATAGGGTCCAAACCAGCATGCCTTGATGCTCCTTCTCCTGTAAGTTAGTGCAAGAAGCACACTACTTAGACTAACATCCCTGGAGCCTTAGCACTCAGAACACTAAAGGTAAGACAGAATTCAGGCCACCCTGATCTACATAGTAAGTACCAGGAGAACCTGGGCACACGGTACAATTCTGTCTCAAAAAACAAAAACAAGGGGCTGGAAAGATGGCTCAGTGGTTAAGAGCACTGATTGCTCATCCACAAGTCCTGAATTCAGTTCCCAGCAGCCAGGCTAGGCTGTAACTGAAGCCCTAAGGGAACTGACACCTTCTTCTGAATTCTGGGGACCATTGGCTGCATATACATACACATATCTAAAAATAATTCTAAAAAGGAATCACAAAACTTAATACAAGATCTTATTTACTAACCCAATATTCAACCTAAAACAAAAGTACAACAATTTAGGGACCTTTCTTAAGAACTACCATAGCCATTTACATGGGCATTCCTGCCTTTTAGAGCTAATGTTCACTGACCAACTGCAATTCTTTTGCTTCTTATGCTTAGTTACAGAATTACTTTCCTCAGGTAACAAGGGAGAAGGTGCAGAAACTCAGCAAGGGTAAAGTACCCTGGAATTCCCCCAGACAAACCTGGGAATTGTGACTGCCTTAATTAGGTAGGGAAAATTAAAAATAGGGAGTGGGGACCTATATCCTGGGGTGGGTTAATGTGTCCTCAGGCCCAAGCTTAGCAAATAAATTATGTATTGCCCATCATAAAAAATGGTATTTGTAATAAAGATCTTCAATTAGTGTGCAGTGTTGTTAATCAGAGTTTGTGAGAAACATTCACCCAGAAAAATCTGTATTTAATTTGTTCTAAACCCCTGTATTGCCCCCTTCCCAAATGCCTACACATGTTACAAACACATTTACTTATTGCAGCCAAGAGGGTGTAAGTGATCTACACTATTCAGATAGCGCTCCTATATAAAGCAGGCACTTTAGGTATCAATTGTAATTGGATGCCATTTTCCATTGTATTGAACAGCGAACTGTTGAAGACTCTTCACGTCTTAATATAATGATGCTGTTGTTTTAATGAGCAACAAATCTTTTTAATTTTAATTCCATTAAGATGAAGACCTCAGTTTCTAGTGCAATGAGTTGTTTCTAGCAGAAACACAGTCATGTGCAATTAAGCCGGAAGCATATAAATCACAAACACTAGAAGCCATGGACAATAACTGAAATTGTATTGCCTCTACAGACCCATCTTATCTCAGCTGCATAAGCCATTTTCACTAAATTAGAGAACCATGATGGAGCCCATTGTTTGATTAATAAACTGGCAAAATGAAAGTATTTTGGCAACTGGTTACCATTCAATCTGAAATGTTAGTGAAATGATTAGAATTTATGTCCTGTGCTCCTTCCTCTGTGCCCTAGTTAGCATTAATTGTCAACTTGACACAGGCAATAGTCACCTGGGAAGGGACTCTAAGCTGAGGGACTATCCAGATCTGACTGCCTTGATTGATGAGTGATATAGGATGGCCCACTGTGGGTGGCACCATTCCCTGGGCTGGTGGTCCTGGGCTGTATAAGAATAAACTATCAACTCAGCTTTCAAGAGTGGTTTCTATTTCACGTTCCTTCCCTCTTTTCCCTCAGTGATAGACTATGGCCTGTAAGCTAACTTTGCTCCCCTAAATTTCTTTTGGTCAGAATGTTTTGTCACAGCCATAAGAAAGGAGACTAGAACACTCTGAAAAAGTAATTTTGTCTCAGTGTACAGTTTCACAACAGTTCCTAGTAGATGGATGCTGAATACATAGGGACAGTTGTTACTTTAACTAAAAAAGTTGAGATGCTTTAAATCAATGTTTCTTATATATATATTCACACGGGCATATATGTGCATATACACATGTATATGTGTGTGGAGGCCAGAGATGAGTGTTGGGTATATTTCCCTACTGCTTCTCTACTTCATTTTAAAGAAAGATCTCTCACTAAACCTAGAGATCACCAATTGTCTAGACTGGTAGGACTGCAAACCGCCTCAATCCAGCTGCTTCCCACTGTCATAGAACTGTGGCTATCACCATATGCCATCATGCCCAGGTTTTATGTGGGTGCCATGGATCCACACTCAGACCTTCACATTTGCACAGCAAGCACTTACCACTGTGCCATCTCTCCAGCTTCTCAGCAGTTCCTATTTGGAGTGCTTCTGTATACCAGGCACCTGGAAACATCTGGGCACTTTCTTTGCATTGTTTCATTTCCACAACTATCAGCTATCTCTGGAGGAGAGGAATACAACTGAACCTAATATACTGGATGGCTCTCTGAGAATAAAAGATCATCCAATCCAAAAGCTCAGCAGTGCCAAAGTGGAAAAACTGCTTTCAATCAGTGACCATCAATCAAAATGGACTTTGAAACTGTTTTCCACTTGACACTATAAGAAAACACCTATTTTAACAGCTATTAGTAAATAGCATTTAAGAAATCTTATAACATTCCAGACTCAGTGCGAGCACTTACCAAAGCAGGCGATGTTTCCGTCTAGTCCGATATACTTGAGATCGTATCTGGCAGCTTCATTTTCAATGGGCTCATTCTCTGACTTATCATCCATAGCAAATATGTCCTTTTGTCGGAATTCAGCATTGTCATCAAAGTTTATCTTGGCATCAAAACAAACAACTAAACAAAGAGCAAAGGAGGCCATACCTGAGTCTCTTTGGAGTCAATACACTGAGTTATTCAGGCCAGCAGGTACAGGAGTAAGGAAGGCAGAACTCTCATTCTCTCACACTATAGGTACGGAAGCAACTGTTGCTTTCTTAACCTTCAAACTCTTAGGCTACAGAGATAAACAAGACAAGGTCCCTGTTCTGAGGGGACTTACATTTCAGCAATGAGGACAATAATTCACATCTGTCAGTCTCTGCTCAGTAACACAACAAAGGTCACCAGCATCCACAATAAGCGCAGTTGGCACAACTGGCCCTGGAGTCACAGCTGTAACTGCATTACTTACTTACAGTTAGTATTTAGCAGGTGAGCCTTGTCTTTCCCTTTTATGCAGAAAGAAACAAGGGAATAATGTCATTTCTTTTTCTCTCCTCTGTCCCGACATTCCATAATAAAATTTGAATTTTATCACTACCCTCTTACTACTCTAATACTTTTAGATTTAATGTAAGCGAATGCTGTGTCAGAATACCCATTTTATAATTTGTCCCTTAATTCTGATGCCTCTCAGTATTAATTAAAATTGAATATATTTAAGGTACAGAGAATGTTTTGCCATACACACATATTTTTGAAATGACAACTGCAGCAATCAGATTTACATATCTGACTCTCAGATTATTTTCTTCTTTTCTGCCTAAATATTTGGGGTGAAAAAGCATACAATCATGCTCTTTGAATCATTTCTAGCATACATTACTAACACTGTAGCCTTAATAAGATTATCTCTATTCATGGTGGATCTTGTCTTCCTCACTTGTGAAGAATAGGGAAAGCAATGCCTACTCTAGACTACAGACTAACTTAACCCAGGTAGATGTCTCTGGTTATGACTTCTCAGGTCTGCCAGTGCTGAGATGCCAGGCATCACTAGTGCCACGGTATACATCCTCTGCTAGAGGAACAAACAGCTCTGCACACAGCAAAGCTCACTCAAAGACAGGGTTGGGCCACCACGCATCTTTGCTTACAAGGATGCAAAGAGGACACTTAAGGGATGGCTTTGGAAAAGAGGACAACATCTGTGGTATCTGGACTCCAACATGTTTATTATTTCCCTTGCAGCAAAAACTTGTTGACTGTGCCACTGCGCCATCGTAACATTCTCTAGTTGAATCCTAGACATGAACAAGCAGATGTCTTTGGTCAACATTTACAGATGTTGTGCCAGCTTTGCTGAGAAGTACTTCACTTCTGAAATGTGAGCCTTCATTTCTCAGCACCTCACAGAAAAACAATGGACATGGCCAGATAATTCTACTTGCTTACAAAGAAAAGAAAACACTGGTGCTTTATGGCAACCTGCACCGACAGTTAACAGGAAGATTTCTTCCAGGTTCTCTTGCATATGACCCAAACACTTGGAGCAGTTCGGATAGAACTGGTATATTAACATTCAAGACGACTTGGCAGAAAAACAAACAGGCCAAAAGTTACATAAATGAATACTGACTGACAAAAGAAAATCTTTCATGGAAGCTGATATCTGCTTAAGTCCCTAGTCTTGCTACAGACTGCCGAACCACTGGCCACATGATGAATACAGAGTGAATGAGTAATTATATTCCTACAATGGTGAAGTTGTAATGAAGGAATCCTGCAATTACCAAAGGAACTGGCCTGTGTTCTCTGCTCACTGCAAAGGCACTTTCTCAGCAGTTAATGACCAGTGTAATGATCAATAGAAAAGCAACTTCATTCTTGGCTTTCCACTGGGTTTATAAATACATTCTAATTAATTTATTAGTAATTTTAGCTCCTCCATTACTCACTGGCAAGATTACTTGTAAGTGACACCTTCAAAATGAATGGGCAAAGGCTATCAAATTGACTTTCTAAGTGAAGACTTGCAAATAAAAGAATTCTTGGTCAAGATCAATAAACTAGTAAATCAAAATAGTTCCAAGCTAAACTTTGCCCCTTATTATAAAGAATACAGTTGCAAGCAGCTACAATGAAAGGATAATTAATGGAGATGTATGCCAAGTCCAGCAGGCAGCCCCAACCAAATGCCTGCAAAGCCATACTTCCAAAAGATTCTTCCTGGATTATCATGCACATGCCAAGAGCAGACAAGAGCCTATGGTTTGGTGAGCAGCTTGAGAACCAGATAGGCAATCCAGGGCTTGAAAACAAGGTCGGTGTAAGAAGCTACAGTGGCCCTTGGTGCTACAGTAATCTGTTACCTGTCTGGTAGCAGATCAGTGTGTGCAGATCCAAGAGCTTTGGGAAACTAAAAATACTGCACAGTTATGAAGTTAGATATGGATATTTAAGGAGGCAGAGACAAGCTGGGCCTGATGGTATACACTGGGAATTCCACACTCAGGAGGCTGAGTTAAGAAGATTTCAAGTTAAATCCAGTGTGGCCTAAGCATGTACAACATAACAGTCTCTGTCCCTCTTTCTCCATCTCTCTCTCCCTCTCTCCCTCTTCCTCCTTCCCCTACTCCTCTCTCTCTCTCTCTCTCTCTCTCTCTCTCTCTCTCTCTCTCTCTC